CACTGTGGAGCAAAGCTGTCTGAGCTTGAAGGGTTGCCCTCCAGCTGCTATGTGAATATGTCTTCTCTAGTAGGATCACACAGACAGCAAAGCGATATTCAGACCTCACAGAAGCAATCATCAGAAGCAATGGAGGAACATCTTCCAAATGCAGCTGTCCTACTGGCAGAGGTTGGACATCCCTGTCAGAATCCACCTCGGATCTGTTGGCAGACTCAGTTCGAGGAGCTCAATGTAGGCAGTAAATCCTTTCCACCTTCCACACAGTCCTTCCCTGCCCTTTATGTCCCTCATGCAGTTGCTGAGCTGCTTCCCCTCACTATCCCTGCTCTGTCACTCTCTGTGCAGCAGCCACCAACCTAAGCAATTTACCAACTGAAACAAAAGTACCACCTGGAAAAGGACCGTGGTGGAAAAGAGAAGCCTCAGTACCTCCTGCTCTCTTCACGGAGCTGTCACATGAGGACAGTCCAGCTCTTCCATCACGGGGTGGACCTGGCCGTATGCTGCACAGCCCGGCTCTTCATAACAGGGCTACAACCTTCCCCCCAGATTTCCCCTGTTCTGACCTATGCCCCCTATGCTGCTATGCACCGCCATTAGCTGGGGGTAAATACAGGTTTTCAGTCCACCCTAATTTGCACAACATCCTCCCTTTCATGGAACAGACACCTCGGCACGTGGCCTTTTGGGCCAGCTCTGCTGCAGGAGCTCGTGGCTTTGGCTCAACTTCTTGAAGGCCAGTATTGCTTTGCTTTCATGTACTCGAGTTGAAATTCTTCACAATGGATCCACAAATACGTAACATCACAGATTATGATCAGATACTTTACAAGGAACCTGAAGAGAGTGGTATGAAACACCCCAAGGCTGTGCTGCACACTCGGACTGCACTGTAGCTTCTTCACTTCACACGTAAGGAATGGGACAAAACAGCCTTATCGGTGTAAACAAACTCAGGCTGAGCAGCTGCTGGATGCTTTCAATAGACTTCCTGGTAATGGCTGGTACAATTTCATTAGGGCTTCTCGTTTTATTTAATAAAACATTGGATGATTTTATTTGTAGTACAGCAACAGGTGCAGGAAAACAAAGGACACATTTCCTGATCCGATTGTGTCCACAAAGAGGCCATTACTCACGGGCTGACACAGCGGGCATTCATTTTGCCATGTGTATTTCTTACGTGAAAATAACGACCAGGCAAGAAAAATAACTGTTTTATGATAAAGGACTTTGGAGATGAGTTGGAGTTAGCAACAGTGCAATGCAAATAGTTTCAGTGTAAATTCAAGCGAAGAGCGAGATAAAAGTATTCAGTTGATCCTGCTTTAAGTACAGATTGAAACACGTGGTACAGGTGGTATCCATCACTAATCCTCATCGCGTAAAACAGAAACCAAACACAAAAAAAGCTGGAGTTTATGACCCTAGGGAGTGCTATGCAGCCAGGATCCCACATAGGGTGCAGGTGCACTCCACCAGACAAGAACTGGGTTTTATGGAGTATTGCTGCCATGTAATTTTCATATTACATGTAATTTTCAGAGCCTTATACTTCTGTTTTTCTTTCAGTACTCTGAGATCCTCCTTATGACAAAGAAAGGTACAGAAAAGACTGCAGTGCCATGATGAGCACTGGGAAAATCATGGCTTTTGCAGTGAGAACATGCTGTGATCACACAAATCGAAATACTACTTCCAAAAAACACATCAAGGCCGGCATCAGCCAGCCAGCCAGAGCCACTTATTCTGACATGCTCGTGTCTTCTGAGTGGGAATAACATGCACATAACAGCAACAACAGAAAGAGCCTTCCGTGCCTTCAGAAATCAAGCAAGAATATTTCTTCTCTTCTCTATACCTTCAGTAACAAAGCAGTTTGTTACCTTTACCTACTCCTTACTTCTTCAGAGATGCAAAACCTAAGATGAGAAAGAAGGAATGCACACTGTGCTTTTAAAAGGCTCTTGAATACATAGAAATATCTTGTAAATGGGACTCTGGTCAAGTATTTTCTTCATTAAAAAAGAAGCTGTCCCTTAGCACACATTTCTTAGTTAACACCTTTATTAAAATCTTCATAAACACCCTCCTGTCCTTCTGAGAGGTGGCATTTCAGGAACACCAAGTGCACAACTGCAGGAGACCTGCTCATCAGGTCATTGCAAAACTCAAATTGCCAATCCTGTGCTGACAAATCCTGGGATGATTAAGGATTAATCCTGTTCTGCTAGGTAACACCCAGCTAAAGGCATACCCAGGAAACAGAGAAGGATACAGGAAAGGCTCTATCAGATGGGCACCCATCTCCACATTTCCTGCAGCTGGTCTCCTGCTAGCTCTGCTCATGGCTCTTATGTCCATTCACACCACATTAACTCCGAGCCCAAACCTTTGGAGTTTCTCATAACAACTTTTCCAGGAGTTCACAGCCGATACCTTTGCCCTCACTTGACAGCAAAGTGCACAAATATACATTTGATCTCCCAGTTCCCACGTGGCTTGAGGCATCCCAGACATCTACGTAAGACTTCTTGAAATACACAAGGATGAGATGTACATTTCTGCCTTCCTGAATATAGGGTAAGAAGGCAACCAGGTTTTGAAGCACAACAAAGCCCAGATAGGAAGAACTGGGGAAAAAGATCTGGAGCTGACTACCTAGGAATCATTACCACGATGTGATGAACACAGGTTAGGAAGTTGTGCTTGTTATCTGCATCTGCCCTTGTCTCAAGGGAACCTCGCAGCCCTCAGTCAGGCAGTGCTGAGGATGAAACAGATGCAGCAGAAATTCCAATGCAAGGAGAAACTTGTGAGCCATGGGGCTGAAGAGCTGAGCTCTGTCACAGGTGGAGGTAGAGAGCAGAGCACAACACCGCTCCTTGAGAAGGGTGCTGGCTGCATCCAGTCTCTCTCCTCTGTTTCTTTCAGAAATGGATCAAGTTAGATTTGAAGTTAAAGCTCTGTCTTGTTTCCTTTCCCATTCTCATAAAATCCTACACTCACAGTTAAGTTTAACAACAGAAACCAAACTACCATCAAACAGCAGAAGGAACCAGAACCTGAAGAAGCATCTGCAAAAAATTTCTTTCAAGTACAGGGGACACAGAATCCCAACATGACCTTGCAAAGCAACTTTTGCAAGAGCTCAGCAGTGTCATTTCAAGCACCCACCTCCCAGAAAAGATCTTCAATGTTTTCACACACAGCTGCAAACACACATTCATTTCTCAGCCTTTCTGGAGTTGTGCACACATGAATGCAGCTGCCTTCATCAAGCAGGATGGGCTCAAGTCATTATTTAAGAGGACAGCATTTGTCAAGTGCCTGCGAGTTTTCCTGCAGTTGTAAACTGAGCGGACACTGAAGATGAACCTGGCCTAATTCAATAGAGAGTGCAAAATGAGAAGGAACTGCTAATGCAAAAGCAGTGCATTTGGTCTTGATGGCATCCATCTTGCATTACAGCCTGCTTGAAAAGTTCTAACATTAACGTGGGGATGCTTGGTGCAGTAAGGTTATCCCAAAGCACAGAGCGTGCAAAAGCAGCTGCCAATGCCTCCTTCCCACAAAAGAGCTACACTGCAAGGGTCTCTGTGAGCCTGTGGGGCACACAGAGCCTGCTCAGAAAGCTTGCAGGGCACTGAGCTGACACACGAGACTGTGCTAACATCTTTATCAGCAGAAAAGATTCCAGAGCACCTGAGAGGAAACTGCTCTCAGAACAGGTCTCACCAGCCACGTGGTACTTTTGTACACACAGGCCAAACATGGACAGATTCAGCACTGATTTAGCCTGCGAGAAAGGCAATTAAAAATGCTTCCCTCTCAATGGACACCAAACACACTAAGAATACAGCCGTCCTGATGCTCTGACCCTATAAAAGACGTAAGTTAAATTGGGTTCAGCATCACATCCAGAATGCTCCCAAACATTTAGCTCTCCTAGGCCTGACTACGGCCCAGAAACCACATGTTCTGCCTACGTTTCTGCAGACTCATCTAACAGATGCCACTGACTCCTGCCAGCACCTCACTGAGGCCCGCTGGGCAGCAGCACTGCTGCTCTCTGATCAGCCCAGGACTCACCTCACCACCTCCCACACGGTGACCTGGCCCAGGCAGGCACTGCAGCTCTGCATGCCATCCTGCACATGGGGCAGGAGCTGCAGCAATGAACTCGCAGCCTCCACGTCTTGTCACTCATTAGATTTGTGTCCGAGTTACCAAACGCATCATAGGAAAAAAAAAAAAAAGAAAGAAAGAAGAGACAGCCTGGAGCTGAAAGCTGCAGCAGTGGACAGCTGAGGGAACAGCGCAGCCACAGCGGGACAGGCTCTGCTCCTATGTTTGCTGCTGGATGATGGGAATTAAAGCAACAAATGGAAAACCAAATTAGTTAGGCTGATCTGGAAGAGGAGAAAAGCTGTTATTGCTTTTTTTTTTTTTTTTTTTTTTTTTTTTTAATTGTATTAAGTAGATTGCTACAGGATGTCCAGGCTAAAAAGCCAACCCATTTAGAAGGCTTCACGCTCTACCTTCAGGCTTATCTACATCATTATCTTTAGACAAACAGTAAGCCCTCTCCTAATCTCTTCCAAAGTTTTCTCAATTGCTGAAAGCCTCAGGGGAGGACAGAGCGGAGAGAACCCCTCGCAAAGAACCTTTTCGCTAAGACGACGCTTGCAGGGAAACATCCCTTCCCGTGCGCTGCGTTAGGGGGAGAGAATCCCCAGCGGGCAGAGGGGGTCGGGCGGGGATTCCTCCGCCGGGGCCGCACCCCGACACGTCTCAGCGAAGGGGCGGGCATGGCCGCCGGCTGAGAGCGCCGGGGAAAGTCCCCGCCGAGAGGCAGCGCGGAGGGCCGGGCGCGGCAGGTGGGTCCTCGGCGGGCGGGGAGCGGGCCGACCTCTCACAGCCGCCGCCTCGGCCCGGGGAGCGCCGGCGGGAGGCTGCGGGAGCGGGAGCCCGGTGGGAGCGCGGGCAGGGAGCGCCGAGGAGCGTTAGGACACGTGCGTTACCGACAGGTGCGTTACCGGAGCGCGGGACGGCGGCTCGAGCGGCTGAGCGCCGGGCCCGCTGCCTGCCTGCCTGCCTGCGGGAGGAGGGCGGGCGGCTCTCGGGGGGCTCTGCCGTGTGATCGCTGTGCGGGACGCCGCGGAGCGCCGAGCAGCGGTACTCGCTGTTTCTGACAGACCTCAGACTTTCCTCGCATCCACTTTTACCCGAGCGAGAAGGCAGAAGTGTTGAGCGCCTTACTGCAGATAAGGGGGAAGGGAGAAAACGAGCAAAGCCGCAGAGTAGCAGAGCGAAAAAAGACAAGAGTGCTTTGCTTTCGTCTGCGGCTGTAAGAGCTGTGGAAACACCGGCCTCACCATCCTGTTTCTTCAGAAAGGCACGCCTAGTTGTTGCTAATATGCTGCCGTCCTGCCTGCGACTGTCCTGCCATCCCTGCCGCCTTGCATTCGCCTGGAGAATCAACAGATGGAAAGAGCTGTTATAAGGAAACTTCTGCCAACATCCAGGGGAAAAGCAGCAACGGGAGGTGTGCAGTGCTGTAGCACCACGCTGCTGCACAGAAAGCCCCAACCAACAGACACAGCTTGATTACATGGGATCTGCACAGTTAGATTTTAGCGACCAAAAAAAGGATGCATTGGTTTGCTGCCTTTCTGCTTTTGGGATATTCCCACAGTCTCTGTTCCATGCGGATTCTATGAGTGTAACAAACTGGAGGACCATAATGTAACACATCCCGCGTGTTGCACAATTTCTATCCTGTGTGGTTATGAAGGAGCTCTGAAATATCCATCCCTCTGCCCAGCCCGGCAGAAAGATTGCCATGCTTCCTATGGGGAAGAAACACCATCAACCTTATTGCAAAACCTTTCATTAGGAAAGTAGCTAGAAAAATAACTTAAGTTTGCACTGATCTTTTAACTCCCAAGAGAATATAATTTGAGGAATATTAGGCACTTCTTGACAACGTGAAGCTTTTTACCCTTACTTCAGGAAGCTGGAGAATTCAGGTGTAGCTTTGGTAGTTGCTGCGATATGGAACAACTCATTGGAAGAGCTGCCCCAGAAATGAATGTCTACAAACATTTTTTTCTTTCCAGATATGAAGCGCTGTGCCCCGTGATACTTACTGTGCTGCTTCTTACTGTTGGAGGATGGCTGCTCTACTCTGTGAGAATTGCTCTAGTCGGTACCACCAGCCCCAGCTCAACCAGCCCCTGGAGATCAGCCTCATGCTGCTTCTGCTCATGTTTGGAAAAGTGTGCCTGGATTTCTTCATGCTGCAAGTTAAGCACAAGAAAGTGAAAGTTAGTTTTATGGGATATTTTTGTGTCTCTTTGGCACTTCTTGATCTCATACTGCTGCTGAACATAGCTGTCATCCTCTATTTGGAGGATTTTGCACTCTGGGGTGTCAGATTTACCAAGTACCACATTTGCCTGTTCACTCAGATCATTTCTCTCACTTACGGTACTTTGCATTACCCGGTGTATCTCGTGGCAGGTCTGGATTACTACATGACTATAGCCCAAACCTCTCAATTCCCCCGAAGAGGTCGAAGACTATTTTACATCTTTGTTGTAGTTTTCATATGGATCTCAGGCTTTTTTTGTGTTCTGCAAGTTCCTGCCATCTATGAAGAACTAGAAGTTCGGAACCATTTCTCTCCTTATCAGTGTCCCCTCTACATCAGCATGCAGAGCTACTCGGTCTCAGTTGCCATGCTGGTTCTCATAGGCATGGCTCTCGTGGTTTGCTGGAAGGAAATGATCACCATGCTGCTGTCTGTGAGGGTGGCCTCCTTTGCCAGCCAGCCCGTCCTGATGTTCTCCTATGTGCCCAACGACAACAGCACTTGTTTCAAGCGGCAGCTTCTGACCAGACTCCTCATCTGCTTCCTTGGCACTTGGGCACCTTTTGTTCTTCTCCAGTTTATCATCTTGTTTCTTGGTGCTTGGATTCCAGCCTACATGGAGATGAACGTCCCTTGGCTGTACTTCATCAACAGCTTTCTTATTGCAGTAGCATACTGGTGTCGATGTCACGACATTGAATTGACAGAGGAGATGTGGTCTACAGATCCATTTGTCAGCTGGAAATTCTGCTTTATGCCATTTAACAATGAAAACACAGAGCCAGCTGAAAAGCCAGGCACAGTAATTGTAATCTGTTAACGAGCTGCTGACTGAAAAGACTGCTAGGGCTGTGTGTACTTTGATGCTCTGTGACCATGTCCTTACAGATAATACAAGGAAGCATCTCCAGAGCTACAATCCGCAGGAAGAAAATCCAACATTCATGAGTACACTAAGGAATAGTGCACCAGAATGTGCCACACTTCTACACTGGGCTTTATTTCCATTTCAGAGTATTTAAGAGAAGGCCACTATTTACATAAAATAAGTTCTTGGTTAAAAGTGGTGTTTATTACTACAGTTTTACAATTGTTTTAAAATTGAATGGTCTCAGGCTTTATAGTATAAAACGCATCAGCCTTTAATGGGCTGAAGCCTTTTATTATCAGTTACATCAAGGTGACCTACTGTCAAGTTCAAACTGCTGTGGTTTTTGTTGTTGTTTTTTTTTAAGTGTATTTTCTTGTTAAACATTTTATTAGTTCAAGGTTTTTGCGTGGTTAATGAGGAATACATTGTTTTAGTTAAAGCTATACCTCCTACAGAACTATAAACTTTGTTTACGGAAACGATTGCGAGATGTATACTGGCACAGCTATGAGAAAGGCAGTGTTTTGTTATTTCCTTGTTACTGTTCCTGTAAGGTATGTACGTGCACATTAAAAACTGCTGAATTACAGTCACAGCAATAAGAGCTTTAATACAAAAGAAAAGCAAACATGCTTAATATGAACAGTTGGACCAGACCCCCTGTGCTAAGCAGATGCATCTACTCTTACAAGGTTACGTGAGTACATGCCAAAGGATGAGTTGGACTAGAACAGAATCTGTGTTGGAGCCAAAGTCACACTGACATTAAAGTAGTTCAATTTGCTAAAGCATGCCTAATGCAGTAAGGGAAAACCTGCTCAGACTTCCAAACTACTTCAATAATTTTCAAGTTCTTACAGCTTGAGGAAGCTCTCAGATTTACAGGGGATTGATAAATAAGTGATCCACAACCCAAGCAGACAAATGGAAGTAGTATTTATTTCTGAAGCACTGAACTCACAGTACAATATTGTATTGAAGTAGAAACTATAAGTAAATTATGTTGTAGGTTGGTTAATCATTCACTCAGACCCACAGGGAACAATGGTATCACATAAGAATACTAAAGAAAAATCTGCAGATAACCAAAGGTGCAATTACAAGCAAATTTAAGCAGCAAGTATAAGGTGCTTTGTTTCAGCATTTGTATAGTCAGTTTCAACATTGACAGATTAAAGAAATCTCACTTCTACTGATGATAACAAATGGGAGAATCTAAAATTCATTCACGTGCTAATTGCTAATAAGAAAGTGCTTTAAAAATGATTCACAAGGTGAAGATCATCTGTTTTACATAGTTCACTGTGCTCTTCAACTGTAGAATTTAATTTTGGGACTACCAGTTACACTATTATGTATTAATTATAGACAAGATTTAATTGCAAGATTTAGTGATACATCAGCAATACATGTGCTAGAAATTATTATAAAGCAATATTCTGGTATATCACTCCATGATAGGAATTCACAATCAAATATCATCTATTAAAGCTTATATTTCTGCAATGTATCAAAGTCCAATTTTCATTTTACTGCTTTACCCCACACAGTGCTTCTTGCACCATTCTCTAGGGCTCAGCTTCTTTGAGGTTTCAGTAACCAAAAGGACAGCATTTTTAAAGCAGCAGAAAATGGTTTCTGGAAAATCCATTAAAAAGGCCATAAAAAAAAAAACAACAAACAGTAAAGGATAAAAACCTAAGTTTTAAAACTAAACTTATTACTATGTGTAATAAGAGGCAGCAATGTTTGCAGCAAAGTTTGAGGAGTTTGGCATTACAAAGTGTTTCATCACTTATGCAGGATGATGTATTTGGAGGAAATTCTATTTTCACCTTAGAAGTAGGGAAGCATGTAAAATAAAACAGCCTTAAGGAATCATTCCCTGCCCCCAGTTCCCAGTCACTTCTAGGCAGCGTTTGACGTGCTGTAGGATAGATAAAGTATGTCTAAAGGTATCTTCCAGGTTTTACATCACCTGGACACCCACTGGGAGGGACTTGACAAAGTACCAACAAAACCCAGCTCCAGATGTAGTTATGCACCAGGCATTTCAGAAGGTCATGAAGTAACTTATTTGTACCAACTCAGATAGCAAGTGAAAATATCTCATTTTAGATTCACTTAAAGCCAGACGAAGGCAAGATTATTTCAGTAACGTGCATTTCAGATCCCTTTTGTGTGGTTAGTTTCACCCTTCTGATTCACCAATGCAGACAGAACTGGAATTGCAAGAAGCTGGGTAAGGTTCAGACGTGTTTATCAGATTCTCAACTTGTAATTAACGTTTACACGTCTTCATCTATTCTGATGCTGCAGAATTCCCTCAGTTGCTGCACTGCTTCTAAAGCCATTTAAAGTTTTTAAGACTGTATTTTTACAGGGAAACCACAACAGGCAGGCAGATCAGTTATTAATGTACTGATGTTACATAAATGAGTTACCAAAGAACTCTTTCATACTCTTTGAGAGGAAAAAGTCAAAGAGGGTCAACCTGCAGGCTGCCATTCATAGCCACCACGTAGGTAACAGCAGCACTGCAGGTCTACACATGGAGCCCAACTGTGGTGTCTAAGCTTCCTGACGAGTAACTGACTTAAAACAGATGAACAGCATCTCATTTTAAGCCCATTTTTATCTTTGACATTTTATGCAGGGAAATACCTGATCCAGTTGTGATCTCATCCTATCATCCTCCTAACAGCCTCTTTTCCACTCTTGGTGCACTTCCTTTTATCTGGTGCTTCTGGGAAGTCTGAACACTGGACTTTGAGTCAAGCAATATAACCAAACACCATTACTCTGCAGAACAGGATTACAGTTTCACTGCAAGCCTGAAAGAGGAGAAGCAATGTCAGGAAGGTGGTAAGACCTGAAACAATATGAATGATAGACAACCACTAAACTCTATACATCACTACTTGTGTCGTGACAGCAACTAATGACTTTATACCACACAAATGTTTTACACTCCTTCAATTCTTATAAGATTATATAATATCAGTGAGAACAGTGGGTAAAGTATTAACACTTGATGAGGAACTTCTGCACTGTCCTCATATCAGAGTCCCTTAAAAATCAACACTGATTTTAGTGAGCAGCTCTATCTCTTTAATGAAATTATTTGGCACTTATCAACAAAACCATCTTTACACATCTCTCCTGATCAGCACTCGTTTGCTAAGACTACAAAACACAGAGAATACTTGAAAGGAAAGCTGGCTTTGCAGAACGTTTCACTGCTTTTTCAACCACACACTTAGCAAAAAAAAAAAAAAACAACTACCAGAGGATGTCAACATTCCAGCTGCAAACTACTGACCAGGTAGTGGAGGACAGCACAAGTGCTCCCATACACGGACAGGACTTCACCCACAGAACAGCTGTGTCATAAATTAGTTGTATATGTGCCTCCAGTGCAGTTCCATTATCAGTAAGGACACCCTTCTTCAGAATCCACGGTCAACAACTTCAAGCCTCTCAACAACCCTATGTAAAAAGTGCTTTTTACACAAAACTAAAGTACCCCTTCAATATTACATTCAATTCAAATATTGCATTCAAAGCAGTATTTCTGATCATCGCTCTACAAATGTACATTTGTGCTCAAGTTATAGTAAGATGGAGAAAGCTCAGAGAGCATCTATCTAGACCCTTACCTTAGATCAACAGCTGCAAAAGTCACACTGTAAGCCTACTACGTATCTCCTATCACAAGAATATTCATACCTTTCATTTTTTTTTCCTGTCCTTAGCTGTAAGAGACCAGTTAGCAATAGATATAACCTCCAAGTGGACAAGCATCAGTATAAGCATAAGGTATAACAGAGGTTACACAAACCTACACAGCAGCCTAGGGTGGGGCCTTCAATACATGTGAAAGTGCTGACCATGAGACCCAGGAAACAAGCATGACACAAAATCCTCCAGCTAACACAGCTGAGACCCAGAAGTGCAAAAAGCACAATCACAAATCTATGAATGGAGAAGAAGTGGCACATGAAAGAGCTCCATGTTCAGCTGTGCCCATCCCTGTTCCACCCAGCATTAACAGCAGTGTATCTAAAACAAAACTCGTGAATGCGATCATTTCTGTCCATCTCTGGTAAACTAAGTTTGGGAAAAGCTGGGAAAAAAATAAAAGCATCCTAGAAGGATTCTTTTGCAGAGTCATTACCGAGAACAACTAGACAATTAGACTGCATCCCAGAACAACTGACAAGAATCAGAAATCTGGTTAGATGACTATATCTAAATGTACGCTAACTCTCTATGCCATACTGGTAAGAGAAAATATCCCTGCAAGCTTTTATGTACATGATTTTAACATGAATAGCCACAATCAAATCAGCAGAACTACTTGTATTATAAATTATCTGCTTATTTATTTGTAAAACTCAGACCCACAGCTCAGCTGTCACTGCATTCTTTGATGGCCTAGAGCTATACAGTTGTTAACGTACAAGAAATCTCTTAATCTCTTATTGAGCTGTAAGTTTCTGCACTGAGATTGTGATGAGAGCAGTCATCTGCATCAGGCAGCACTTGCAACAGTAAGCCATGCAGCAGCACGCTACTGAGTCTCCATACTTCACAAACTTCTGTTCAAACTACAGTTAAGCAACATCTGAACATTTCCTTCCAGCCAAGATCAAGATAAAGAAGTGATCCAAGGCTATTATAAATCTGCTCAAATACTTATTTGTTCACATTTCTTTTCTCTTGTTGCCACATGTGCTGTTATGAAGGTCTCCTGTGCTATCCAAAAGGCTGGATTCTGAATGTGGCTTATTCAGGAAGTTATTAGAGAAAAAAAAACATGTTTGCAGGGAAGTAATGAGGAAATGGATGCTTGCAGGACATCAGCTTGAGCAGTCATACTGACTGAAGTATATCAAAGGTTTTACCCTCCACCTTTTCTGAAAAAATGACAAGGATTAATGAATATAATGGATTTACAACGTAGTCTGTTTAAAAACTCTCATTCTTGTGATCCAATCCAACCGAGTTTAAATTGACAAGATGATTTTTTTTTTTAATTCTCTTTATAAGCAAGGTGATAAAACCTTACAAATATGCCAAACGTGAGGCATGGGCCACGTATGCTGGGAGAAATTGGCAGTTCATTGGCAAGCCTCAATAAGCAGCAGCCTTAAGCTGCCAGAGCACTGAGCCACTGCAAGTGGCTGAGCTTCCTCAGCACTTTGTTCCTACTACAAAGCAGGGCTGCTGAGTGATAGGAGCCAGAGGGTGTGGGGCAATCTGCACACCCACTTCATCCAGGTGCATTTCTGCAAAACACCAAATACATTTTGAATCTGAGACAAGTAATTGCTGTAATTCTATTGGAAGAAATCTTGATAGTTGGGTTCAGTTCAGTGCTCTGAGAAGGCTGCCCTGAGCTAATGCTGTACTTTC